CTTCAGGTGAACACGAGCCCCACTTCAGGTAAGCCCTGCTTTTCTTTCTCTCTTTCTCTCTCTGTCTATCTCTCTCTGCCCCTTCTGGGATTCTCTCTTTCTCTCCCCCACCAGAAAAATAATAAACGTAAAAGTTTTTTAATAAGTTATTTTTTAACAATATTTATTCCACTTATGTTAATTTTTTAATGTTTATTTACTTTTGAGAGAGAGAAGGAGAGAAAGAGAGAGTGAGCATAAGCGGGGAAGGGGCAGAGAGAGAGGGAGACAGAATCTGAAGCAGGTTTCAGGCTCTGAGTTGTCAGCAGAGCCCAATGCGGAGCTCGAACTCATGGACTGCGAGATCGTGAGCTGAGCTTGGCAGACACTCAACTGACTGAGCCACCTAGGTGCCCCCTCAAAAATAAATAAATAAATAAATAAATAATTAACAAACATTAAAAAATTAGAAAAAAAGTTATAAAAATCTTTAAAAAATCTTTCAAGGAAATAAAAAAAAGAAAGAAAGTGCTGGACATTGTTCTGACACTTACAGAGCTTGTCATGTAGCTGGGGAGCCAGATATGGAGTTGAAAGAAGTTAATTGGCAATACCAGTAGTTGGGCTTAAGGCCCAAGATTAGGGTGGTAGCAGTGGTCTTGGAGAAGAAAGATAGATCTGGGAGATAGTTCTCCTGCACTAGAATGTGAAGGCAGGGCTGTCCAATTTACCTCTGTGTTGCTATTACCAGCAATAGGAAACTAGGAGCAGAATGGGATTATTATGAAGATCAAATAGTATAATGTATTTGAAAATGTTTTATAAGTGATAAAACATGATATAAAGGTTAATTGTTGTCATAATCCTTAAAATTAAAGGATCCACAATAAAGTTAACAGTACTTTTATTCCAAGGAACCAAAGTAAAGAAAAGGGCACCTGGGTGGCTCAGTCAGTTAAACGTCCAGCTCTTGATTTTGGCTCAATTCATGGTCTTGTGGTCATGTGATTGAGCCCCATTAGACTCCACACTGAGCATGGAGACTGCCTGAGATTCTCTCTCCCTCTCTCTCTGCCCCTCCCCCACTTGGACATATGCTCAAAGTCTCTCTCTCAAAACATGAAGAAAAAGTCTTAGATTGTGTTAGAGTTGATAGATGTATCCCTTCAGTTCTTGCCAGATTTACTCATTATGGCTCAAATGGCATAGAAAAAAGTAAAATGGAAGGTTGGATAATTTAAAGCCAAAGCCCCTACTTTCTCCTTAATAATTTAGGCCACATGGGAATCACTGTTGCCGGGAATATATCTGGGATTATATATCTTAGTCCTACATTTCTGGAATGTTTGCACCTGAGTGTTTTTTAATAAAAAGGGTATGTATGTATACATGTGTATGGTCATTGCTTATGTATGAAGTCATTGTTAATGTTGAAACTGCATAAGAGAATCAGAATTTTTTGTTACTTATTCTGAAATAGACATATACACATAATTAGGATTTTACAGAGAGAATGTAAAATAGTAAATTGGAAGCATCTTTGCTTTTCCTTGAATCCTTCTGGTACATTTTAGTTGACTTTATTTTGTGTAAATAGGTTCCTAAGAATTAGGTATCTTAATTCTAAAATAGCAAAAGATGAAAATGATGGAAATGGTATGGGGATAGGAAAAACTGTTTAAAAAGCTGAAGCAGGAGGGGCGCCTGGGTGGCGCAGTCGGTTAAGCGTCCGACTTCAGCCAGGTCATGATCTCGCGGTCCGTGAGTTCGAGCCCCGCGTCAGGCTCTGGGCTGATGGCTCAGAGCCTGGAGCCTGTTTCCGATTCTGTGTCTCCCTCTCTCTCTGCCCCTCCCCCGTTCATGCTCTGTCTCTCTCTGTCCCAAAAATAAATAAACGTTAAAAAAAAAAAAAATTTTAAAAAGCTGAAGCAGGAGACTATATAGATGATTAGAAGAACATCTTTTTGTTTTGAGAAATAAAAGGTATTGGCACTAGCCTTGTTAGGAGACAGGTGATGTCCTTTGTGCTGGGAAGTGTAGGCTTGAAGAAGTCTTGGGGGAATATGAAACAGGGAAATCTTTAACATATTTCAAGAGAATAAGAACATTTCATTATTTATAACACCAGTTGTTTTGTTTTTTGAATAGATAACGTGCCTGGACATTTCCAGTGGAGGCGGCCTTGGTGTGTCTTCTAGTGCTGATGGGAGCATGAAGATCTGGCAGGCTGCCAATGGCGAGCTCAGAGTAAAGGCTTTGAATATGCTTTTTGGGTCTCATGCCTGAAGGGTGGTCTGAGAAACCTTAGACTGGGTCATGGGTGGAAGAGTGGCACATTCTAAATTTTTAGGACCACTGCACTTCAGTTGACCTTTGTTCTCCCATATGTTAATCTCGGAACCATCCTCAATCTTGGTGATTTTCCAGAACAAATTGGGGCTGGAACAGTGGAGGAGCCACTGTGAATGTCTAAATGCGTGGTCCCTTGGTATGAACTTCCTTCAGTGATCAGTTTCTAAGACAAAGTAACTAGACTATTATTACTAATTATATGGCTGAGCTCCTCTAACCCATACAGAGGATTTTGAGAAGAGGTAAGAGTCCTCAAGCCTCCATGTATGTAGAAGTAGACTTAAAGATGGCTGTGAGAACCTCAGACTTCAAATCCACAACATCTGTAGCCAGAGCTACAGGAAAGGGAGTCAGCAGCTCTTAGAACACTACCTGGTATACAAATGAGCTAAAGAGTTCCTTTTTGACCCCCATAGTTCTAAAACCCAGCATGTAGGTATAGCAGGTAGATATTTCATTAAAGGGACGAGGATGTAAGAGGTAAGAGAAAATCAGGGGATGGACAAGAGAACTAGCATGGAATTTTCTTTTGTTTTTCCAGAGAGTATTGGAAGGACATGTGTTTGATGTGAATTGTTGCAGGTTTTTCCCATCAGGCCTTGTGGTTCTGAGTGGGGGAATGGATGCCCAGTTGAAGATCTGGTCAGCTGAAGATGCTAGCTGTGTGGTGACCTTCAAAGGTCACAAAGGAGGTATGAAGGGTAATTTCTCCAAAAGGCTTCTCTAATGATCCCAGGAGACGAATCACCAAAAGGTAGAAACAGAAGCTAGTTATCTACAGAAACACAAATAATTCCTCCAACTGGCCATTTAAATGAGCTATTTCCTCAAGGATTAGACATTACTTTGACACTGAGTCTTGTTATTACTAACTGCCTTACACAGATAGTTGTTTTCCACAATAGACAAGTGAAAAAAAATCCTCCCCAGGAGGTCATCAGCTTGTGTGCTGGGAGAGACAGAGATGTGTGCCAACATTTTCTCATTAATCCTTTGGCTGAGGTGATAATAAAAGCTGGGTGGCAATGGCTGCATCACTAGACAACAAAGATAGAGCGTGGTACTTGTCAGGTCCCTTGGATTTAAGTCACAGTTCAGATACTAAAAATGGATTAGCCATACAGCCAGTTGATATCAGGTTATAGAGACAGAATGAGAACATTTTCCCCTTGTAACTGGTTAGTTTGTTGGAAAAAATGATAATTTAGAAATGTTTTATCCTTAATCAGAATGTTAAAAAGCTTCATGGGATCAAGCCCCACATCTGGCTCTGTGCTGACAGGGCAGAGCCTGCTTGGGATTCTCTCTCTCCCTGTCTCTGTATACCCTTCCCCTCCTCTCTCTCTCTCTCTCTCTCTCTCTCTCTCAAAATAAACATTTTTTTTAAAGCAGAGGTAAGATTTGTGTATGGTTTTTTGTTTTATTTTCGTTTTGAGAGTGATGGGGGTGGGTACAGAGAGAGATGGAGGGAGGGAGGGAGGGGGGGAGAGAGAGAGAGAGAGAGAGAGAGAGAGAGAGAGAGAAAGAGAAAATCTTAAGCAGGCTTCACACTGAGGGTTCAGTCTCACAACCATGAGATTGTGCATGATTTGAGCCCAAATCAAAAGTCAGTCGCTCAACTGACTGAGCTACCAAGGTGCCCCCATCTTTCAGTCTTCTTATACTTTCTGTCTTATGTCCAGGTTTTTTTCATTTACAAGGGGAACGACCTGAGGGAGATGGGGCTACTCTATCTTGTCCAGACTGGAAGTCACATCTTTTTGTAAAATGGGGAGATTAATCCTTTCAATTAGTTCTCAATGGAAGCAGTAAGACCGTGATTTTCAAACTGAACTAAGATGTCTTCTTAATTTTTATTTAAAACACATGTTTTAAAGCCAAAATTGAAGCTTCAAAACCACTGTTCTAGGACACTACACTAAGAATTAAATCCAAACCTTTTTCCATGTCTGTCTCTAAGGGCTAGTCTTTGAACCACTGGGAAGCAGGGACTCTTTTATTTATTTCTGTTTTGTAGCACTTGAACTTGCCCAGCCTGTAGTACGTATCCAGTGTGTGTTTGTGAAGGAATGGAGTTATTATGCAGATCCATCTTCTCTGCCCTGTAATTCCTTTTCTACCCACTCCATTACAGGGTCGTTGTTTTGTTTTTTTTTTTCTTGCCAGGTATTCTGGATACAGCCATTGTTGATCGGGGCAGGAATGTGGTGTCTGGTTCTCGAGACGGAACAGCACGACTTTGGGATTGTGGGCGCTCAGCCTGCCTGGGAGTCATTGCAGACTGTGGTTCTTCCATCAATGGAATGGCTGTGGGTGCTGCTGACAACTCCATAAATCTTGGCTCCCCTGAGCAGATGCCCAGTAAGTTGATAATGATATGTTGAGCTTATTTTGTTACCTTAGGCACCTTCAGTGTTTGCCTTAGCTTCTCCTTCCTCATCCTTTCCTGGTCTTTGGCTGGTATTTGATTATTCTCACCATAAGGTTAATATTTATTGCGTACCTATACTATGTTCCTGTTGCTTTGGAATCTACAAAAGAAGTATATGTCATTGTTAACTACATTTGAGTGAGTACAGTCTAGCTTAGCAGACGAGACTGATGCCTATAAAATAGAACAAAAATTTTTTAGCTGAAACAACTTAATGATTCTTAATGCAAATGTAATAGTTTTTTGGAAGAAGAGAGTATTTTATATTTTAGGTTAGTGTACATGAGACAGATGTCAGAAAGAAGTTGACTTGAACGTTGAAGGATGAATTTGGGTTGAACAGACAAGAATGGGAATAATGGGAGATGGGGGGAGGAATAGGGGCAGTTCACATTAAGACGGTTTGGAGGTAAAATTGACTTGGGTAGAAAGATATGCATGGCCGGGGCAGAGGTTTGATTAAGAGTAGTAGTAGTGGGGGGCCCCTGGCTGGCTCAGTTGATAGAGCATGTGACTCTTGACCTCAGAGTTGTAAGTTCGAGCCCCATGTTAGGTGTAGAGATTACTTAAAAAAATCTTTAGGGGCACCTGGCTGGCTTAGTCAGTGGAATGTGCAACTCTTGATCTTGGGATTGTGGGTTCAAGCTCCACATTGGGTGTAGAGATTACTTAAAAATTAATTTTTTTTAAGTTTTTATTTTTATTTTTGAGAGAGAGAGAGAGAGAGAGCAAGCATGCTCAGGGGAGAGGCAGAGAGGGAAAGACAAAGAATTCCAAACAGGCTTAGGTTATGATCTCATGGTTCAGTTTGTGAGATTGAGCTCTAGGTCTAATGTATAGACCTCTTTCCTGAGTTTCAAACTCTTTAGATGTCTGATAGACAGCTCAAACTTAACCTTACCTAGCATGGAATATTTTATTTTCCTCCACCCCAAATCTGTATTTTGTCCCGTCTCAGTAAATGGCACTACCATCTACCTATTTGAATGATCATTCACAATCCATCCCACCTTTCCTCATGTCCTATGTTAGCTGACTCTGTCATCTCTACCTACAGTCTACAGATTGTTTCTGATTTTTCCACCTGCCCTCTTCTTCTCCCTTCCTCCTAGCCTCGTGTTCTGGTCTGTCATCATCTGTTGCCTGTACTCATCTCCTGTAATCCATTCTCCTGAGAGCAACTTTTGTGGTCATTTAAAAAAGCATAAGTTATGTCTCTCTCCTTTGTTCCTACTCTCCTCCAGTAGCGTCCTTTTATACATATATTAAAATCCTAGCCCCTTCTTTGGCTTATCACAAACCCTTACACCTTCTAATCTCCTCGTTCCTCTCTAGCCTCATGTCATACTGCCCTCTGCTAGACCCGCCACGTTCCAGCCACAGGCCTTCTGTCTGTTCTATCATCACTACAAACTTTGCCAGCCTCTTGGTCTCTGCCTTGTTCTTCCCTTAGTCTGGAATGTACTTCCAAAAGTTCTTTGCATGACTACCTTTTGGTTACCATTCAGGTCTCAGTTGAAAAATGGCCTCCCTGGAGTTTTTTTAAAGTTGAAGTTTAAATTTAAAGTTACCTTCCTCACTCTCCTTCCACTGTCTACTCACTTTTGATCATACTTTTCTGTTTTGTTTCCTTTGTGGAACTCATCACTGTCTGAAAATATCCTATTTGTTTATTTACCTACTCCACTATTTCCTCTTTCCACTAGAATTCTTGAGAGTAAGGACCTTGTCTGTTTATATATTACTGTTACTATGTTATTATTTGTGTATGCTATTTGTATATTACTAGGATAGTGTCTGATATGTAGTAGACCCTCAATAAAGATTTGTTTAGTGAATGAATAAATTTCATTGACTACAGACCATAAGAGCCTTGAGGGCAGAGACTATTTTGTTCAGATTAACTTATTTATTAAGTAATCTCTACCCCCAACATGGGGCTCCAACTTATAACGCCAAGATCAAAAGTTGCATGCACTACTGACTGAGCCAGCCAGGCACCCCAAAAGTCACTCTTTTTAAAATGTCAGTTCTGTGAATTTTGACATATGTGTACAGTCATATAAACAATATCAAAAGTCCAGATATAGAACATAATGTTTTTTTAAGTTAGTAAGTTAATCACTAACAGTAATTCAGTAGACAGCCATCAGTATCTACTTTCTGGGCACAGCCAGCTGATCAGCCTTGCCCACTGTTAACTTGGTTCATCTGTCATGCAGGTGAACGGGAGGTTGGAACAGAGTCGAAAATGCTGCTGTTGGCACGGGAAGATAAGAAACTTCAGTGCTTGGGACTGCAGAGCAGGCAGCCGGCAAGTGGTTCCTCTATGACTTTTGAACTCTGGTGCAACCTGGGTCACTCTGATTTTTGAAAGGCTGTTTTGGAAACATTTCTGTTTGCTCCCTGTGTTCACCTTTTGAGGAAGCTGCAGGAATAAGGAACAGTAAAGTGTAATGATTAAGAACAGAGGTTTTGGGTTAAGGGCAACATTCACATCCTAGCTCCTCCACAATGGCTGTGACATTGAACAGGTTACTTAACCATTCTGAGCCTCAGTTTCCTTGTCACCAAACTAGGCATAGTAGTACTCACCTTCTAGGGTTATGTGATAAGGATTAAATGCTCTACTGCATTGTGAGCTTTGTTTAGTCACTTTCTCTCTGGGCCTTAGTATGCTATATATAAAATGATGAGGTTGTGTAGATTCCCTTCTGTGTCCAAAGTAATGTGAAGAAATTCTGAGTAAAGGACTCATACGTTCAGGGCTTTTGATCAATTAATGGCCAGAATGTCTTTTATGGAAGAATTAGTTTAGTTTTCTTCCTTCAGGCTCTGAGGTTTTGCTGGGCAAGACTGTGCTCTTCATTAAGCTCTGAGTTCCCTTGGATTCAACTTTTAAATTTTCTTTCTAGTTCCTGTCAACATCACCCAAACAACTATAATGATTTGGTTTGGCCACAAGTTGTTTTGGTTTTTTTTTAATGTTTATTTATTTTTGAGAAAAAGAAACAGAGGGGGGGGGGGGTTGGGGGGGGGGGGAGGGGAGGCGGGGCAGAGAGAGAAGCAGTCTCCAGGCTCAGAGCTGTCGGTACAGAGCCTAATGCAGGGCTCAAACTCACGAACCATGAGATCAAGACCTGAGCCAAAGTCAGACACCTAACTGACTGAGCCACCCAGACACCCCCAGGTTTTGTATTTCATTTCTTCTCATTACTTCATTGTGCTAGTGATGTTTCCATTTTCAGAAATGACGTTCCAGGAACATCACTCTTTTTTATCATATTGCTTTTGCAGCATCACTCTTTTTTATCATATTGCTTTTGCACTCTGAATTTCCATGTTGACTTTTCCTTCCAATGAGAAATCACAGGTTTTGTTTGCTTGGCTGGGTTTGTTTTTTTCTTTCCTTTTTAGAACATTTGAAGGAGAAATGATCACATTGAACTAATAGTACGGTATACATAAAAATCTGATAATTTCTTTTTTCAGGCACATGGGGAGAATTATAATTTTTTATTTTTTATTTTTATTTTTTAGCATTATTTTTGAGAGAGAAAGAGAGTGAGTGAGTGAGTGAGTGAGTGAGCTGGGGAGGGGCAGATAGGGAGAGAGAATCTCAAGCAGTCTCCATGCCCAGTGCTGAGCCCAACACGGGGCTCGATCCCTCAACTGTGAGACCATGACCTGAGCCGAAACCAAGAATCGGACACCCAACCAACTGAGCCACCCGCGTGCCCCTGTAATTCTTTAAGTTGCCACTTCATTTAAGCTTGTTTCTTTTCCTGCATAGTGTCTCCCTTCAAAAGGTTGTTAGAAGTGACACGAAGCAAAATTTAAATGTGTGAATTTCAAGTGTTTCTCAAATGGAAGGTTCTAATGAAAAGCAGGAGAAGAAGGATTTGGGGTATTGAGGATCCTATGAGTCAATGTATTGAGGGGTAATAGTTTGAAAACTGCCACCTTAGGGTATGGTATTACATAAACTGCTGAAGTACTCAGGGAGCCTCAGGTTCCTGAAATCACGAGAGTGGTTCCTCCTCCATTGTTGGTGAATTTAGATCGAGAATGTTACAAGGGAAAAGAAAGAAAATTTCTCTAAAAATAGGAGAATTTTCTTTTTTTGGTGGCTGTTTATTCCTGAAAACAAATTAATCTTTAAACAGCAGTTTTGGCTCCTGCTTGTTCCCAGGTGTTCCTCTTTGTTGGCTCAGATGCCTTCAACTGCTGCACTTTTCTCTCTGGCTTCTTGTTATTGGCTGGGACACAAGATGGAAACATTTATCAGCTGGACGTGAGGAGTCCGAGGTGAGTCACCACTCATTTGCATGATGCAGGTCTTCTTACAGAGTGGAAATTTTTATTAGCTTTAACATTGATTTAGGATAGCGTGGAGATGACTGTTGAATCAAGGGTGTATTTTTCCATTTATAAAGGTTTTCCGGTTTGAGTTGTCTGATTGTTCTTATTATTCCTGGAATCATATTAAAAGGTAATTTGATTCATGCTGTCATGATTGTTCTATTGTAGTGATTACTGTGGAATCTAAGCTTAAATAATGAACTAACATTTCACTTAAATGATTGTGTAGAACTTGTAATTTTAAGGAGCTCAGTATTTTACTCAGTGGTATTAAATCTGGGTTGGCCTAAGATTGAGCATTTTTAGTTCATGCAAGCCAGCTGTGTTTCTTTGTTTAGCTTGGATCATAACCTGTCTGAAACAGGCCTTATTCTGGTCTTACAGATACCCAGAGAAAATCAAGCAACCCCTCTGCCCCAGGATTTAACAGTTTCTCCAATTTCTGTCCTTTCTTCCTTTCATTTCTTTTCTTTGTTCAGTTGACATTAAATGAATGGCTTTTGTGGGCACTGAAAAACAGAAATAAAAGATACAGACTCTGCCTTTGAGGCATTTGGAGTCTGACAGTAAAAATGGGCAGGTAAAAGACTGTTGTGATGCAGGTGTGATCAGTGCTCTACACAGGAATTTGAGAAAGCACCTCTTCTCCAAGGAAATGAGGATTTTATTGGATTTTGTCCAGTAGGAAGTTAACAAATAAAGAAGAAGGGGCCTGCCTTGACAGAATAACATATAGAGCAGGGTGAAGACACGTATGGCACTTTCAGGGATCTCTAAAATATGACAAATATGTATGATACAGACTGGGTAGGAGGGAGGAGTGATGCCAGACAGGAAAGCAGGAGTTTGTTTAGAAAGAACTTGCAAGCCATCCAGAGGAGTTTGGACTTTATTCCAAGAGTAGTGAAGAAATTCCAACGAAGGAGTGATCACCTTATACCTTTTCTCCCATAATTTAACTTACTTTACTTTTTTACTTGTTTTTGCCCTGTGGAGATAGGGAATCTCTGATCATTATTAGAAAATCAGCCTTACATATATATTAAATTGATTCTCACCTTTGTCTTTCATTTTAAAGAGTCCTGACATTTTTAATATTTTGCAATTGTCTTAATTCTGTCTATAAGCAAAATAATTAACATGTTGTTAACATTGTTGTCTTAAACTCTTATCAGGGCTCCCCTAAAAACTGGAGTTATTGGTGGTGGCTTATTTCATTTGGCTCAATGACTTGTTTAGTTAGTGACATATTTAGATTCGCTTCAAGGCAGTTTTGCATGGATGACCTTTAAGGATCTTGCCAAGAAAGAAACTGTGTGAATGTTTAATCTCTGTCCACATTCGTCCTGTTTGCTTTTGTATGGTTAGTACTATATGTTGAATACTGTCAAGCATTGCTTTTGAAGAAAGAAAGTGCAATCGCCCCTTTTTTTGAATCCTAGGGTTCCAGTACAAGTCATCCACAGGTCAGGAGCACCGGTTCTGTCCCTGCTAAGTTTCAGAGATGGATTCATTGCTAGTCAAGGTGAGTCCAGTAGCCAGATGAGATGAGAGGGTTTCCTGTAGTTCATTTAAACATGGATTTAGGGGCACTTGGGTGGCTCCCTCAGTTGAATGCTTGACTATTTTGGCTCAGGTCAAGATATCATGGTTTGTGGGATCCAGCCCCACATTGTGCTCTGCGCTGACAGCACGGAGCCTGCTTGGGATTCTCTCTCTCTCTCTCTCTCTCTCTCTCTCTGCCCTTACCCCACTCATGCATACTGTCTCTCTCTCTCCCAAAATAAATAAACATTTAAAAAATAAATAAATAGGGGCACTTGGGTGACTTGGTCGGTTAAGTGTCCAATTTCGGCTCAGGTCATGATCTCACAGTTTGTGGGTTCAAACCCCATATCGAACTCTGTGCTAACAGCTCAGAGCCTGGAGCCTGCTTCAGATTCTGTGTCTCCCTCTGTCTCTGCCCTTCCCCTGCTCGTGCTCTGTCTTTTTGTCTGTGTCTCAAAAATGAATAAACATTAAAAAAAAATTTTTAATAAATAAATATAGGTTTAAATGCCTGGTCTATGGCAGGGTTAGGGGCATGGTCCTCCACAATTCTTTGGCATACTTTGTTTATCATATAGTGTTTATCACTCTACATTATAATTGTCTATATCCCCCTCTAGTCCACGTTCCTTGAGAGTAATGACTTTACCTTATTCATCATAATATAACTCTGTTTTCAGATGACAAAACTAAGGCTAATAAAAGGAAGTTATTAGAATCTCCTGCCAGATTAAACAATTTTTATTATAGAAATTGTCAAACAGATACTAAGGTAGAGGGAATAGAATAATGAACCTGATTATCCAGCTTCAACTATTACCAATTTATGGCTATTCCTGTTTCATCTTGTTTTGCCCATTCCCATACAATCTCCAACCCTTAATATATTTTGAAACGTATCACAAACATTGTATTATTTCACCTGTCAATATTTATCTCTAAAAGATAATTCTTTCATTAAAAAGATGATTTATAATAATAACATAAGAAAGGATACAGTCTCCTGTATGCTGTTGGTTGGGATATAGATTGATTAACAAATAACTTAAAATAAAATTGATTAACAGATAGTTTTGGACAGCAGTTTTTCAAATTTTAAAAAGCTTGAAAAGGTTAATTAAATCAAAAAAATTTTTTCCCGGGTTCTATACAAAGTCACAGTGTTGCTCAGAAAAACTTCATGCATAAAGGTATTCTTTTACGCAATATGCTCTCAACCATGTAAAATAAAAATTTTCACAGAAAAGATTGGAAAATAACATTAAAATATTAGCAATGATTATCTTTGGTAGATTATGGGTGATTTTTTTTACTTCTGTTTCATTTTTAAAGTTTTCTTCAATTAGTATGTACTATTTTTATATTAAGTAAAAAAAAAACAAAAATTACCTCATTCAGCAGTTTATAGATCATCTCAAGTCTCATTTGTCCACATTATTTTGAGAAAATTAAGTTTAAAAATTAGATATGCTTTTATTTTCTTGTTATAACAACTTTGCTCCTTTGCCTAGTTTTATGTGGTCAAATTCATAGATTGAAGAATAATTTGGGAGCACAGATTTTTCTTAAAATATTTGTGTAGACAGATTCTCTGTTAAAAAATCCTTGTCTAGGATAAGTTTGTAATCAGACATATAACCCTGCAGTTGCTTGCTCTGTGCCTTTGGCAGGTATTGCTAATCAAAGACGGCCCTTTATCCCACTGAGCTTGCACTTGGCCTTCAAATCCTCTAGCTCAGCATTCTAGGCAACCATTGTAGGTCCTCATATTTGACCCATATAATGAGATCTATTTGCCATTCTCAGTCTTGGGGCAATCTTCTTTCGGCTAGTGATGTACAGAAATAAACTAAAATACTGGAGTTTAAACTCCTTTGCATGCAGCTTTCTCTTCAGTTATCTGATTTTTTCTTTTGCCTTTTAGGTGATGGAAGCTGTTTCATTGTCCAGCAAGACCTAGACTATCTCATTGAGCTCACTGGGGCTGACTGTGACCCTGTGTACAAGGTACAGGCCTGGGTGATTCTCACCTGGGATCTAAGGCTTGTGAGGGGATTGAATCCAGCTACTTGGTGGGCATTCAGGATGATAAAATACTTAGGGGTGAGATAGAACACAGAAAGAGTTTTGAGTCAGAAGTGGTTTTACGTCTATAAATATTAACTGTCATTATTATTATTTAAAGTTCACTCATTTGAGGGGCACCTGGGTGGCTCACTTGGTTAAGTGTCTGACTTCGGCTAAGGTCGTGATCTTGCATTTTGTGAGTTGGAGCCCCATGTCGGGCTCTGTGCTGACAGCTCAGAGCCTGGAGCCTGCTTTGGATTCTGTGTTTCCTCCTCTCTCTGCCCCTCCCATGCTCATGCTCTGTCTCTCTCTGTTTCTCAATAATAAATAAACATTAAAAAAATTGTTTTTTAAAGAAATAATAAAGTTCACTCATTTGATTAGAGCAGAAAGAGAAAAACAAAAGGGGAAATATCTATTGACCAGACATTCTGCTGGATGTTTGGATGTTTTACATGTATATCTTGTTTTGTTGCTATTATTCTTAAAGTATAGGTATTATGATTTCTCTTGTTTTTATACAGTTAATACATACCTGTAAAAATTCAAACAGTACAAAATTATACAGACTTAAAAGTCCCTTATAAGAACTTTTTAGTTTCACTCTTCTTTCCAGAAGTAAGTAGCATTAATAGTTCGGCATGTATCTTTCAGACTGTTTTTGGACAATCTGCACTTACATCTTGTGTTTATGTATTTATGTAAATAATACAGTTTTATTTTTAGTTTGTACATAATTGGGATCATTCTGTATGTATTGTTCTATAACTTTTTTTTTTACTTAACATCTTGGAGCTCTTTTCAGATAAATGCATATAGATCCACTTCATTTTTTTTTAAATGTTTTATTATTTATTTTTGAGAGAGAAACAGAGCATGAGCAGAATGGGGGCAGAGAGAAAGGGAGACACAGAATCCAAAGCAGGCTCCGGGCTCTGAGCTGTCAGCACAGAGCCCAATGCGGGGCTCAAACTCATGAAATGTAAGATCATGACCTGGGCTGAAGTTGGACGTTTAGCCAACTGGGCCTCCCAAGCGCCCCTAGATCCGCTTCATATTTAAAAATTTCTATATAGTGTTCTATATTGTGATTTAACATACCATACAAGTGAGAAAAGTGAGATTCAGAGTAGTTGAAAAGTTGCCTTAGGTCCTGTAGCTATGGATTTGCAAATCTGAGATTAAGTTCCCTCCAGAATTCCTGCTATTTCCACTAAATTAGTGGTTCTTAACCTTTGAGTTTCAGGCTTCTTTTTTTTTTTGAAGGGTGATACATCTTGGATTATATTTTTCTGTTTACAACTGAGATCCCATCTACGAACTATTTTGCTAGTCTGCATGGGTACATTAATCCTAATGAATTTAGATTTATGATGAGTGGACTCAGTTATACAACAAAAAAGACACACACATTGTTTTAAAAGAGCACATATGTTATGCTCCTCCTATAAGGCCAGTTTTCATTAATATACACTGGTTTCAAAGCTTAGTCTGATTTTGAAGATGAACCAAGATACACACTGTATGATTCTAAAATCTAGTTTAGCCATTTTGTACAGTTGCTGTTTTATTGGACTACAATATATGTTGTTTTAAAAGGACGCTGGGGGCACCTGGGTGGCTTAGTCAGTTGAACATCTGGCTCTTGATTTTGGCTCAGATCATGGGATTGAGCCCTGCATCGGGCTTCATGCAGAGTGTGGAGCTTGCTTAAGATTCTCTCTCTCTTCCCCTCTGCCCCTCTCCCACTCACATTCTCTTTCTTTCTAAAAAATAAATAAGGCCCAGGTCCTCCTTTAATTTTCCCATACTGTTCAGCTCACAAATGGTTTTAAAATTAGAACCTTCAGTGTTGTACTTAAAAACTTAGGGATGTGGGGGGCACCTGGGTGGCTCAGATGGTTAAGTGTCTATTTTATTTTATATATTTTGTTATTTTTGAGTGAGAGACCGTGAGTGAGCAAGGGGCAGAGATAGAGGAAGAGAGAGAGAACCCATGAGGGGGCAGAGAGAGAGAGAGAGTGAGAGTGCAGAGCCTGAAGTGGGGCTCCAGCTCACCTGATGCGGGGCTCAGGCTCACAAACCTGAGATCATGACCTGAGCCAAATTTGGAGCTTAACCAACTGAGCCACCCAGGCGCCCCAATCATCCAACTCTTGATTTCAGCTCAGGTCATGATCTCATTGTTTGTGGGATTGAGCCCCACTTGGGGCTCCATGCTGTCAGCTCAGAGTCTGCTTGGGATTCTCTCTCTCCTCTCTCTCTCTGCCCCTGCCCTGCTTACAGGCACGTGTGCCAACATGCCCTCTCTCTCTCAAGATAAACAAATTTTTTAAAACCTTAAAAAAAACTTAAGAATATGGAGAGTCAGATAGAACAAGGGAAAAGAAAGTCATAGGTCGGCATACGAAGAACCAAGCTTCTGTGTCCCAACACCTGTGTTACGTGTGGTTTAACTAAATGAACACAGCAGTAGACCTGCTTGATTCACCTTCCAAATCCGAAAAATAAGACTAAAAGCTCAGGCTTGCGATTTCTGCTGTGCATAATTCCACCAGTGACGAGGACCTCATAAGCCAGAGCTCTACTCCTGCACAATATGATGCGTGCACACAGCCTGCCTAGCAGCTGAATGGCTGGAAGTGCCAGCACTGCCCAGATAACATGCACCATGATTTCTGCAGCTTTTTCACAACAGGAGCCTCACATCCCTCAGCATGGAGGTTGGAGGAGTGGGCCAACCTGCCGTTATAGCTGCTGGCTGTCTTTTGGTTTATTTGTACCAGTCTCTATTTCTTCAGCAGTATGGTTGGTTGGTTCCATTGTAGGGTTCCACTGAATGCTGTGATCAACCTCACTTTCCACCTTAGCTCTGTAATCGTATCCCGAAACTGCTACAACTGCTATGACAAAAACCAAGAGTAGGATGATGACAGACATGGCAAGTCTGCAGCAGCTTTCCTAGATTGTGGCACAGCAGCCAATCAGCCCAAAAATGAAAAGTCGGGCTCCACAGCTGTGATCACTGCAGCAGGGAAGAGAGGATATACATCTGCAAAGTAGTGGTCAGAGTCATCATAAGTGATGAAGACATGCGCTTCCACATAGTGCAAAATGCCAGCTCCCCCTGAAGATGAGGTTGAGAAACACCAGTCCTGGAGGAGGATGAGCAGCTCCGAAATCTTGGAGGAGATGATGCTGCACTGGCCCATCCGTGGTGCCGGCAGCCTACTGGCACCATGCGCACACCAAGCGAGGTGGCAGGGGCAGCCGAGCCTCCCCACTGGGAGCTGCACAGCCTGAGTGGCACTCACCATAGCCCCCAGTACCACTGCACAGCCCCAGCAGTGCCTCACTCCTCCTCAGACACATATTGAGAACTTCTTTGAATATAGTTGTACAAGGTTCAGGGATACCCTGGCCCACCTATGGATCATCTCCTTTCCCAGGTACAGACCCTCTGCCGTCAAATATGTACCACACTAATAGATTTGCTCTCTACTTGGATAATTCATTTCTCTGTTCTGTAGTCATAAGTACCCTGAACCTTCACCAGCTATTTTTAAAATACCTATCATGGATATAATTCTCCTCTTGTCTTTGGAGTTGGTAGAGCTTCTTAGACTCACTTGTACTAAAGGGGGTCAGTGACAGGGCTCTTTATTTTTTAATAAGTTAAAAAAAATTTTTTTTTTTTAACGTTTATTTATCTTTGAGAGAGACAGAGCACGAGCGTGGAAGGGTCAGAGAGAGGGAGACACAGAATCCGAAGCAGGCCCCAGGCTTTGAGCTGTTAGCACAGAGCCCGACGCGGGGCTCAAACTCACGAACTGCGAGATCATGACCCGAGCCGAGGTCGGATGCTCAACCGACTGAGCCACCCAGGTGCCCCAGGGTTCTTTGCTTTTGAAATGGAAGAATCCCAGGCTTCTTCTGAGCTGTGAACTCTTGTGTTCCAGGTAGCTACATGGGAGAAGCAGATCTACACATGCTGTCGAGATGGTCTTGTGCGACGCTATCAGCTCTCTGACCTCTGACTCCTTGGAAAGAGGAGTCCCAGTTAATGAAAAAGATTGGCCCTAGTTGACAAAGAGAATAATCATTAGTCCTTCTCAAGGACCATGGACCTTTATTGTCTTGGGCACCCTTGGGAAGTCACAGAAAGTCAGCTACATTGGCCCATGGAATATGGAATATCATTCCATGATAAAACCAACTGTGAACTAAGTAAGAAGCTCACATATGTTCCATATATAAACTCACCCCCAACAACACAGGGCAAGGGTATGGATGCTTACAGCTTGCTCTTAACACCATTTGTGTTAATTGTTTACTGTGACCAGAGGACTAAAGCCTGTTCTCTGAAGGAAATAAAGAGAATGTGTTTGAAGGAGTCTGAATTTGAAAAACTTGGTTAAATATTCTTTCTCCAGTAGAGAGTCATTCAAGTTGATTGAGTACCTGTCTTGGGCACTTCCTGTGGACCTGGCCATAGAGAAAGACTGCTTATTAGCAGTAAATATCCTATAAGCAGCAATCTGGGAAAGATTCTTACACAGGTAGGGAAACTGTCTCAGTTTGGGCAGGGATTTTCTGCTACATGTGACTTTCAGTCCTAGGCAAACTGACATGGTTGATCATCCCAAATACAGGTGATAAAAGTTGAATCCTATCATTGTAAAGGCAGTGGCTGTCCAAGTGTGGTCCCTGGAACAGCTGCATCCGTATCATCTGGAAATATGTTAGAAATAGAAATTCCTAAGCCCCACCTTGGCCCTAAATCAGAAATTCTGTGGGTAGAGCCAGCCAGGTGATTCTGATGCATGCTAAAGTTTGGAATGTAGAGGAAGAGATAGTGAAGGGCACTTTAGGCATAGCTGGAACACGGTGCTCGTAGGATGGTGAGGCTGGTCTTTAGGAGATGAGGCTGCAGAGGTTGACAGGACCCAGATTGAAAGGGCTTGAGTGCCAGGTAAGAAGCTTCAATTTCATTTGGTTCATGAGAAGCCCATGGAAGAGTTTTAAGCAAGGGTATAACATGGTCACCTCTTTTTATTTTTTTCCTAAATATAAAAATGGAGTCATAATGTATATATTCCATGTTTTATTTTCACTTAGAATCTCTGAGTTCTTTTTAACTTAGTACACTTAGACCTTTGTACTTTTTAACACTTTCCAGAGTATGAATACCTTATCATTTACGCTTTAGAAATTAGACACTTGAGCTGGGCACTGTAGGCTAAGATCTGGATTTATTTAAGGGGAAAAAGCCAATTCCTGGGTGGAATAATAGTATGGCTCACAGCATGGAATCTTTATAACTTCACTATGACATGAAGGTAGTGAGACTCAGATGAATTGATTTGCCAAGAGTCATAGAGAACAGGAACTTGAACACGTTTTATCTTTAAATCCATTTTTTTCTACCTGTTGTGTATGCCTAAATTGTGAAGATAAAATACTGTTATTTGTTGAGTATAATTGGGTATCTACTCTATTTTGGGGACTATATTTATATATTTAATCCTCATAACACTCTTAAAAAGGAAATGGTATTTTTTTTTTATAGACAAGGAAACTGAGAGTCAAGAAATTAAGTACTGGGGCACCTGGGTGGCTCAGTCAGTTAAGTGTCCAACTTCAGCTCAGGTCATGATCTCACAGTTCTTGAGTTCAAGCCCTGCATTGGGCTCTGTGCTGACAGCTTGAAGCCTGGAGCCTGCTTTGGATTCTTTGTCTCCCTCTCTCTCTCTGCCCCTTCCTCACTCACATTCTGTCTCTCTCTCTCAAAAATAAACAAACATTTAAAAAAAAGAAATAAAGAAAAATTAAGTACCAAACCCTTGTTTTGGACCTTGCTTGGTCTGTCTCTAAGGCCTGTGCTCCTTCTACTATACCACATGGTCACAAGACCTCTGGGACTAGACCATTTTCATTTAAGGAGTGATTTGTGATAAGGTCAGGTAGACCCGAAGGGACCTATTCCGGAGCTCAGAAGCATTGGATCCAAAGAAGTTCAAAGGGAACCTCTAAGAAGTCAGATGAAGAAGACAGGATGAGGGAGGATATGGCTGAGTTCACATAGCAGGTGTGTCTGAGTTCTTGTTCCAAGATTCACGCTTTTCCACTGCCATCACATCCATAAGCCCCTTTTCATAGGTCTCCAGAGTTGATATCCTGGTTGTGATGGATGCAGCGATACTTGATAGCTGCCCTAAAATCCAGATTCAAACAGAAAGAGCAGAGGCTAGCTCTCAGGTGCCAAAAGCCTTGTCTTCTCTGAATGGAATATCCCCAGTATGCAGCAGACAAAGCTTTTTTTTTTTTTTTCCTTTTGGGTTGAAGA